TCCACACGGACACCACTCTACTGCTCGCAGTTAGGCACCGCTACGACCGTGAAGTATATCTCGTATAGGATTGGACAAAAGTAGGGCCACATTCCGGCCCGACATCAAACCGACTTCTGATTGGTAGGGTCCAATTGGAATGAAATCCACACAGGAATGACCCCCTGGAGAATAAGGGGTAAGCACCGCATCCGCCATCAGTGACTTTTTGGTGAATATAAAACTTCAGAAATTATTTGTACTCCACTACACGTCCAGCTATTTTGAAAAGGTCCCAACACATGTTGTAGTGATGAACCACTCACACCTTTCTCCCTCAGAAACGCCGGTCTCTGGAGTTGCCTATCGTACTCGGTCCCCTCAATCATTAAAATCAAAGCTTAGTAGGCACCAACTCAGTCACGTAGCAACTTACCTTCCACTTACCTTACCTCTGAAAACTGATCCATTTTTCCTGCAGTCATCTTCCGCCTAAAAGATTGCCTTTCAAGGGTCACTTGTGGTCTGGTGCGTGAAAGCCTGTACTTGTCTTTGAATGTTAACAAGGCTCCACAATAGCCATTCATAACGCCAAACATCATAGAAAGATGTGCATATGAACGTTTCTACTCCTCGAAAATGTGGACGGGTTACAAAGCCTTTGATGAGCCCCCAAGGCTGCGATTTGGCACCCATCTTCAAGCGAAATTTTCAAATTAGCTGCCTCCTCTCGTGCTTACAACCGAAACGGTGATCTAGGTAGGTCATTCCGGAAGGCGCTTTAGCTTCTCAGAGCGGCTATTAGAGAACCTTAACTGAGGCGTTCTGCTCCCCCAACTGGGTTTCGTTAACATGTTAACTGCGCACACTGGTCCATTCTGTACATACTGATCCGGACAAGACTGAGAGTTTCGTACAGTTTTATTGAAAGTAAAAAGTTCAGGTTTCGGAACGCCAAAGAAATATCCGAATCATTTATAGCATTGGTATTTCTTCTTCATTCTACGAGATTCACTTGCGTAATTTCTCCTCTACTCCTCGTTTTTGCTGGTCATCATAAAAATATCACAATCACCATACAGAACAAATCTTATCCTAATGGAATACTGCCTTCGAATGATCGGTTGTTTTGTCGTATCCCTGGACGTACCCTCTCTTCCCGACGGTACGTTCGGAACTGGTTTCGTTTTTCCCTCGTGCAAATTTGTGGAAAAAATTTTGTTGTTCAGTCTATTCGCAGGGTACACACGGGTAATTGTTGACTTTTATTACTCTAACAAAACATTTGAGAAAAAACCCTAGTTATTTTTCGCAATTTTCCCATTTTGCATCTGGTCTGAAACATGTCATCAGTTTATACCGATTGCCCACTGCAACCATTGGTAGACCAGAGCAGACGCGGCGAAATGGCTGCCCGTCGAGCGTCAAACGCGGTATGCAATGCCACGCCTGCAAGGCATGGTGGCACTTCAAATGCACGGATTTATAAGACGACCAGATAAGCCGATTAGCTAACTCTCCTGAACCGTTTGTCTGCGCCAGCTGCCTCTACGTTAAGGGTGCAATGCATACCGCTGCCAAGAGGAGAGCCCGCAAAAACGGTACTAAAGCCTTACTGCAGAATCAGAAAGACCGATGTGTGTGTTTCTCTTTGATCGGGATACTCGACGCAAAAGTGTAGCGTTTTTTTAAGGCACTAGAGGATTCAGACAATGAATGCAGCGACCTGAACGAATGTTGACAAGGAACGTTATTCGCTGAACGAGTACCTCGCGCTATCCTTACGGGTCCTCTGGCTGCGATGTTCACCCCCAAAAAAGCAGCACGCACTCTGATGAACCGCAGGCTGTCAAGGAGGATTCAGCGACTTTTGGAAAAGATGCCCTATTTTTTTTAAAAAAAAGTTGACTACATGGGATACAGATGCTGAGCTGGTGTTTCGTAATATGCATAACCGCTGTAAATCAGAAATCCGCCAATGGAACATACGAAAACAAGCCACCATCCTGAACCTCGCTCGAAAAAACAAAAAAGTATTGTTCAAATACATGAGACATCACCGCAGAAACCAGTCGTCCGTGATCACCTAGAGGGACAGAAACGGAGAACCCACGAGTGACCCAACAATGGTAGCTGAGGTTTACAGAGAGCACTATGCGTGTCTATACTCAGTCCCAGCGTGCTCGTCACATCCACCCTTGCCAAGGCGCAACTACGAACAGCTTCTAACCGACTCGGTCTTTGTGGTAGAGGAAATTCGTCAACTCTTGCACAAGATTAACTCATTCTGCGCGTTGGGCTCCGACAAGGTCCACCCAAGGATCCTGAAGGAAAAGTCGTCTACACTGGCAAATCATCTACACCTGGTGTTTCGTCAGTTGGTTGACGAAGGCCACCTTTTCTCTGCTTGGAAGGAAGCGATTGTCACGACAATCTACAAAATTGGTGACCGGCTATCGCCTGGCAGCTACAGACCTATAAGCCTCTCCTGGGTGCCGTGCACGGTGATGGAACGCATTCTGAAGCGAGCTATCCTAGATCACCATACTTCTAGCAACCTGATATTTCCAGCTCAACACGGATCTTTCCCAAGCCGTTCTTTCGTGATAAACATGCTCGTGTTTATGGGTAGCTTAACCAAAGCCAAGGACGAAGGCCTCATATCGGATGTCATATTCTTCGACTTCTCAAAAGCATTTGATAGGGTCCCACACGTACCGCTGCTCCACAAACTGGAGTCTTACGGGATCCAAGGAGAAATCCCTCATTGGATCAAGGCGTTCCTATCAGACAGATCATTCCTAGTGAGAGTAGGCTCGACCTACTCTTCTCCAGCGCCGGTCTCCGTTGGAGTTCCTAAAGGGTCCGTCCTGGGACCATTGCTGTTTCTGATCCACGTCAACGACCGTTCAAATATTCATGCAAGTCCATATCTACCTTTTACGGGCAATTCGAAATCCAGGAGATTCAATGCCAGTGCCCCCAAATGGATGTAGACGCTGCAAAGCAGTAGTCGCTGGACTGGCGCCTTCCTCTGAATGAAGAAAAGTGCGTCCATATGTCGTTTGGAGGAAACTCAGCGAATGCTTTGTTATGCATGGTGAGAAAGGACCGGAAAACATCATGAGGATAAATACCAAAAAGGATTTGGGCTTCTGGGTCTCCTCAAACTTGTCCTTCTCACTGCACCGTAAGAAATCGGCCCAAAAGGCATTCGCCATTCTACGGATTATCCGACTCGATTTCTCCCGAATCACTCGCATGGACTTCCGAATACTCTATGGGGCCTACGTCAGACCACTCCTGGAGTACGCCAACAAGGTTGTCTACTCAGGGCGCACGAAAGACGCCACCCTCATTGAGCGTGTCCAGTGAGCTGCCACGAGAATGGTTGCTGGCCTCGAATCCGTGGACTACGAACCGCGCCTCGCGATGCTCGATCTCTTTCTCCTGGAGTATCATCGCCTCCGAGGATACCTTATTCTTACTTATGCCCTGTTTGAACAAAGTTTGGCAAACCGTTTTTTCACCGTTGACCCAGTAAACACACGGCGGGGACATGGCAAGAAAATTTTCAAGCTCAGAGCGCACACATTCATTAGACAAAACTTTTTCTCATTTCGGGTAGTAGCTGCGTGGAATGACTTTCCTCCGATGGTTGTGCACGCTCCTTCTAGAAACCAACTTAAAGCACTATCAGACATTCATTTGTGCGAATCCTCGCGCTGGCAAGTATACTGCCCTGCGCTGAAAACATAAAGAGCAGTGCTACACCTTTTTTCACTTGTGCCTTTCAGGCAAACGAGAGTCACTGACCGACCCGGGAATCTTGGGCAAAATCCTCGATCCTCGTGAATCCGTGAATGCGTGTATGTTCCCTTCTGGACAGATATTTTCTTACCTCCATAAGTCTAGGTTTTCCGTCTGCTCTTTCTGTGCAGCGGTCTGCACCATGAAGGTCATTTATCATGCAACCCAAATGCTTGAAGGTGATGCTCATGATTTCCAGCCACACAGTAACAGCTCACAAAAGAGACGACCAACCGTATGCAGGAAATATCTGTGGAAAATATCCACGGGGATATCCGAACAGAAAACCCTGGTGGTTCCAGATTCAAGCCATTAAGCTGGAAATCACAAGAAGTAGTTCACGGTTGCCGCTTGTGGGATGGGTCATCTTCCAGACTTCCCTTCTTGCCGGCTGATTCAGATCGGCATTATAAGGATGCTCGATCTTCACGTCATTAATTATGGATCTTGAAGACTGTTTAAGCTAAGCGCCATAACTTCACGCCACTCGCCACAGGCAATTTGCACACCCAAATTATTAGCATCTTCCAGCGTTCTTCGGCGTTCTTAAAGAATAAAAGCGTCCAAAGAATATCTATTGTGAATTTCACTTTTGCAGACAGGTGGTTGACGTTTGTTTGCCTTACAAATAATAATCGCAAAATACATTTTGTTCGGCAAACCTGGTTACGACACATTTCCCCGTAGGTCTCAACTTCTATTAAGTACAAAACTGTTAGACAAAAACGTGAATTTGCAGTGTCGACGCAAGGGCCATTTCTGTTGGTGATCACCTCACCCAGGTATGCATCACTAGACTGTAGATAAGGTCGCGTCACGAGATGGCTTCAGGTATCATTTCTATTTTGTATATGACGCTCTATACGTGGTGACCACCATAAAGCCGTCGCCATGATAGCGTTAGTCACTATCACTCACCTCGACATCTTGTCGTAACTGCTGGGTTCGCGTCTATGTGCGACGCTGATTATGGGGCCCTATCTACTCACGGTAGCCCAATCTAATGACCAACGACGGCCATTTATACTCAACTCTACGCGTTGTCACTCACCTCGAATACTTGTTGTGACTGCTAGGCCCGCGTCTATGTGCGACGGTGATTATGAGACCTCGTTCGTGCACAATAACATAATTCAATGACCAGAGACGGTCCTCCATACCCATAGCCATACGCGATATTGCTTGTCTTTGCTACCTATAGTAAACACCAGGCCAGTATTCATGCGGGTCGGTAAAAATGAGGCCTCAACTATGCGTGATAGCCTGATCTGGTGGTTTGTAATACGCATGCCTTTACTCAATGCCGCCTTACTTAGCCACTTATCATACCTGCTAGTTCCGTGTCCATGTGTATCTTTGATCAACAGCTAACTTAATACAACCTAATCTGTCGTACTCGTAACTATACCCATTGCTGCTTATATTTGCTACCTATGAATAACACCGGGCCAGTATTTACGCAAGCCGATGAATACAAGGCCTTAACTATGCACAGATACCTAAGCTAATGGCGAACGACGGACCTCATACTCACAACCGCACGCGATATCGCCTACATTGACCACTTTTTGATACTGCTAGGTCGGTGCCCATATGCGACGCTTATTATTAGGACTCAACTGTGCGCAGTCTTAATTTAACTGCCAACAATGGCCTGTCATGCCCATAACTGTGTGCGTTCTCACGTCCGCTATCTATAGTAAACACCAGGCCAGAATCTATGCAGGTCAGTAAAAATGAGGCTCCAACTGTATGGATCTCTTAATACAACAGCTAACGACGGCCGTCATACTCGTAACTGTTGTCGATATCGCCTACCTTAGCTACTTATCTCAACTGCAAGGCCTGTGTCTCTGTGCAAAGCTCATTACGAGACCTCAAACATTCCCAGTATCCAAGTCCAATGGCCAACGACTCCCCCTCGTGTTCATTACAATACGCGATATCACTAACCGTGCAAGTTGTAGCAAATACCGTGCCCGTGCACATGATTCTGCGTGTCCGTAATGTCTCAGCTATACACAGCAGACTAATCCAACGACATACGGCGGCCTTTCATACCCATACGTCATCGACCTACCAATACCCCATGACGGAGAGATACCCAACCGCTTTTGACAAATCATGTTTCTATGTATTAGTTGCATCGGTACAAACATAATGTGTGGTTAATCCCGTTTTCATCTTTTAACCCTACAGAGTTACTAAAAGTGCATAATAAATTACTAATCGTGCACATTTTCCGCGATATCATTTCAAACACATTCAACCAAGTTGCAGTGGCTAGCTCATCAAGTTCCTATAAAATCCCTTTTTCCTAAACTCCGGTCGGTGTCCGCGCTGAACCTGGAGACTTGGTGCTATAAAGGTCAGGTCTCGCAGCCATACAACAAAACAACCTGCACTTCAGCCTGACGCACGCGTTACGTGATATTCACGGATATAATGCCCTGACGCCATACGTCTTTGAAATTAGCAAACGCTAACGGAGCATTGCAGGTTTGTGCATTGACCTCATCTGCCACACTACAGTTAAAACTAGCACAACTTCGAATGTATACAAAACGCTGCACGGCACTTCCTATCTAACCGGATCAGAAAAATATCTGCGATCTTGTATAAGCTTTGTTCCATCTCGGAGGATTTCCTCGGTCAATCAAAAACATCCCCCTCCTCATAGAATTGCACATGCAAGCCTAATCATCCCAAAAATGACGCCGGTGCGGACCGTACAAAAACCGAATTATTTTAGTACAATCTTGGTATAGCATTGCTATAACCGGTTACATGGCACGCCCGCAAGTATGCCCTCCCTTCTTTTAACCTCTCTCCAACCCTGTCATCCAACTGTTCCGTTGCCCGCAGCTACAAACAAACTCCCACTTTTTTCTGACTAACCTCATGATAATGCTTGACGGTACACCAACCGCCTGTTTTGAATAAACATCGTTATGATAGCGTGACACTTTGTGAGCACAAAATGCGCACAAATAGACAGGATGATCTTGGTTAGTTCACAAAGGACACCAAAGGACACATGCGCCTCTTCCTCTTCTTCAAGGATGCGAACGACGTCTGCATAATCGACATGATTTTTGCCAGATATTCGAAAACCGGGAGCAGAAATTATTTCATCATTCGCCTTGTTATCTCGTCAATCACGAACTCAAGCGGGAACGAAGAGACGGCGCCCTTGAGTGACACAATTTCATGTACGGAAACTTTCGAAGCTCCCGCATATTTCCGTAATATGTCCACCTCTTTCGCACCTCCCGTCAAGGACGATATAAAGGACTGCATGTTTGACAACTCTCATTTCAGCCGCATGTCCTCTCCCCAAAGTGCAATCCTTCCGCATAGAGAGCCTCATAATCCGCCTTCCGAACTGAAGGATGGAAAAATTGATGCTGGTCTAAGCTTGCCTTGGCCGTGGCATACATCCCGAGCAATCTATTTATGAGAGAGGAAGAGATGCTACAGGAATCGCCAATACAGTGATATGACGTCTAAAAGGCAGCTGGATTTTTGAAGCCTTGCGAACTTCTTCGGGCTGTAACAGCTCAATTCGGAAGACAGCTGATCATACAAACAGGCAACATCGCCAGATATCTCCGATCTCATGTCCCTGCGAGTTCTAAGCTGCCTTAACTGCACACAATCTGGCCAATGTACGTCCCTCATACTCACATACGTATTCACCAGCTCGCATCGACCTCACACTTGCATGTAAATATCGATTACCGCTTCCGAAATCGGGCGGCCTCGCCTCATTGAAGTAGCTAGGAATTGTGACAACTTTTGGCTGTCTGCTATTCCGGGAGGCATTCTTACTCACATCAAAGTGCCTTCAAGCAAACCTCCCAGGCACTTTTTCCTACTTTGAGTCCCCAATGTAGAAATGTCTCTTATTAACCCGTTTAAATGGCAGCAGTGAACCATTATGAACCCTCAGTGCACCCAAGAATATCCTAACTACAATGGCAAACTTAAACGGCCCATCCAAGATGTCCATGTACCGGGCTGTATGCGAACCGAAGTACGACGTCGTGATTACAGTAGCACGATTACCATACCCAGTCTGAGGGCTTGCCCGTAGTTCACTATGTCTCATGTTTCCGAGAGGAGCGTGTTACCCAGGAGACCGTCTCAGTCCGTTTAATTTGTGCAAGGACTTGAATGCAGTGACCATCTTATTGTGCCGTCTGCTTGTTCTGCCCACAAACCCAATATTTATCCAACGGCACTGTTGGGGATTCCGTGTATCGGTGAAGGTCAAACCTTGCCTTAAGCTAGATATAACGTATCTTGACCATCATGAAAAACAAAAAATTACTAGCTGTGACAATTTCCTTGGCTTGAGCGGAACGCTTGCCGCAACCAGATTGTGATGTCCACCCCAATTTGAGTTTGCACGGAATTGATGTACATGAGTAATTTTTAACTTTATCGCCTTACGCGCGCACCTCCCGTTATATTCAACACGGACTTAGTAAGCTCATTATTTTAGAGTTGTTAGACATATACTTTCAAAACTTCGTGCGTTTAGATTATTGCTACGAAC